ACCCTCTCTCACCCGCCCCGCAGCCGATACGAACTTAATTCCATGCCTTCATTCCTCCGCCTTGACTACTGCCACTCACTTTCTTTTAGCGCATCAGCACTACATCCCTCAACAGACTCCAACGGGTTCAAAATGCAGCCTGCACGCTCTCCTCAACACATTCCAAACATGGCACTCACATCAGCCCAGTCCTCAGAGCTCCCACTGGCTTCCTGTCTCCTCGCGTATCAATTACAAAATTATGCGTCCTCACCTACAAAGCACTCCACCTTTTCCCCCTTATCTCACAAAAACCTTTCTCACTCCTTTATCAACCCCCACGGTCCCTCAGATCCACCGCAGGGACCCTATCCAATTACCCACATCCACCACTCTGCGGCTTTGGGACAGATACCTCTCTAGTGCGCCAGCCTCTAGGCTCTGGAATCCCTCCACCAAGATCTCTGTGACTCTGAGCCTCCCTCACAGCCTTTCAGTCCCCGCCGTCAAACAACATATCTTTTCAACTCTGGTCTACCCATAAGCCATAACTCCCTCCTCTCATCAACTTTTCCTCTTCACTGCCTTTTTATTTTACTATACTTACTTGTTTGCCTGTCCTCGTTTGTCTACCCTCCCTCATATTGTAAAGCGTCTTTGAGTTGTGAAAAGCGCTATATAAATAAAATGCATTATTATTATTACATGTTCCTGCAGAGATACACATTTCTGTGTATCTCTGCAGGAACATCAGCCCCATTGCTCCCCGGGCGCTGTGCAATAGCTGCCCACTGCTCCTAGTACTAGTCTCCTGGTACTAGGATGGGTTAAAAGCAGAGAACACATTTCACTGTGTGTGCTGTGTGCTCTGCATGTGTGACCATTAAAGAGGAGTTCATCCCTCCCAATTCTTCTATTTTATTCGTGTTTTCTGTTGTTGAGTCTTTGAGTAGTCTGGTTTGTTCATCTTAATTAATATTCAATTTATTTCGAACCACTTCACCAAGGATTAATATTTATAAATATGTATTCATTATTATGATATGCCATATGCCTGTTGGTCTTAATTATTCCTTCTTCTTTTTACGCATATCTCTATTGTACGTTATCATGATTGTTCACTTGTTTGTCTTATTTTATTCTTACCTCTTAATTATATTTTACTTGCAAGTATTATTATTCTTATATTATTAGAAAGAATAATTGTATTTGTATTTAACTGTTGATCTTCGTTATCTGATTGTCTTCTTGAGTTCTACTAGCCTGTATTATTATTATTTTAAAGAAATGTAATGGTGAATTTATAGTTTTAATTATTTGATATAGATTATTTTCCTTACATTTTTAGAAACATTGATTTAAAAAAAAAAATAATAATTCTCATGTAACAAATCAGTTTTAAAAATCCAATGAAAAGAATGTTAAATCAGAAGTTAACGCTTGTGTTCACTCGTAAGTTTGACAACGCATTGTGCCTGTAGCAGAAATGAAATGTGCTTTATAAATCAAGTTTAGCCTCCTATAATTCCTGCTGGCTCTTCTTGTCTCCAGAGTTAATCCATCGCTTCATCACGGAGCACCAGCAGGGCAAGCGTGTGCCGCTGTGCATCAACCCTCAGAGTGCTGCCTTCAAGACCTTCATCAGGTGAGGAGGGGCTCTTTTCGCCTGTCACCCCGAACACACTGATATTTAGATGGACGAATGTTTTGTATTCCACGTCTGAGAGAAGGTTTTGTGTCCCCAGGTCCACTGCATGGCACTCCTCCAAGGTGTCCAGGAAGGAGGAGAGATGAACGTCCTCCTCTTCCTCCCGGGGAGCGGCAGCAGAGTATGAAAAAGGATTTAATCGCCCGTGAGAGTCCTGAAGAGTTTGGGTCTTTTCCTTTCAGCTGTTCCCCTGGCGAGATGCAGACCCAAAGAAAACCTCCTGAAGATCCTCATTGCTTATTTTACCTCCTTCAAAATCGACAAAGTTTCAAAATATGAAAACTACTTCTTCACTTTTTTAAACGTCCCAAACAGGCGAGGCTTCGGGACTTTTCTTTTTCTCGGTGCTGATATGTAAAAAAAAAAGAAAAGCTGCTTGAGGAGGAAAAAGAAAGAGGAGCCGGTACGAGAGTGGATTTTCCATCTGTGTTAGTAGAGACTTTAAGGAATAATGGTTTTAATGTTTGGTAGATTTTTGAAGTCATTCCAGCCCTGTGCAATACGGATTCATTTGAACAAGCAACGGACTGAGGACACGGAGCGGATTGCCTGCCCTGCGGAGTTTCAGACACTCCCGATACGAGCGCGTACCGGATCAGTGTTCCCGCCAAACGACATCATACAGCGCCACGTCCTTTTTTTTGGTTTTCTTTTGGAACTGCTGCGAGTCCAAGCCGCGTCAATAATGCAAACTAACAGATGTAGCAGGTTCTCACCACAGTCAGTCCCTCGTGTTTCTCCACATCTCAGCTCCGGTAGTGCTTTGATCGCTAAGTTCTCTGTTTGTTCCACCTTATGAAAGGAGCAGGGACTTTTTTCATCAGTTTGAAGTATTTGGTTGGAAATTACGACAGGAATATTTATGACAGTTAATAAGGACCTTTGAGGGTTAAACTCATACATTTTCAAGGAAAGAAAATCAATTAAAGTCGGAATTCGAAGGAAAAAAATCTGATTCCTGACGAACAAATGCAGAATTCTCTGAATTTTGAGATTATAAAGTGTAATCCCAGAAAAAGGACTTTTCACATGGCCCTAATCCTCTTCTGTTAATAACCCTGGCTTTATCATTGTCACGTCATTTTGTTTGCCTACAATGGCCCTAATACATCGTCGTAGATGCTCTGCATAAAGAAAAATGCCAAATCGATATTTGGCTGACTTTTTTGTGTTCTTCCTGTCTTGTTTTAATTTTCTCGCTGACCTCCTCTGTCCCGACTTTTTGCCCACCGGCAGAGAGAGATTTTTTTCGTTGTCATTTCTTAATTTATTGAGTGTTTGTTGAAGAGTGTGTGTCTCCACCTTTTTTAGTTTGAAGCGGTTTACCTCAAACCTCCGGAGAAAAGTGAACAGAACCTGATGAGTGCATACCTGTAAAGTGAAAGCCTCCCGTCAGAACTCAAACGTCATTCCTCCAGATTCTTCTTGTCTTTACCTCCACTTCGCCCCACCACTCTGATTTTTTTTAGAGAGAGAATTATGTTTTCTGTGAAATGCTGCTGTTTTTTTGTTTTCGTTTATTTTAGTTTCAGGCTCGTTTTATAGACTATGAACTGTACAAAGCCACATAAGGATGCACCAGTATTGATCCTGGTATTATTATCAGTAAATAACAATTTTTCTGATTCTACACTGTAAGAAGTTCAGCAGAAGATGTTAATTATATCTTCAGATCTAATTGAGTTAATTTTCTAACTGATGGTTTTTACATGTTTAACCCTTTAATTACAAACTCAACAAATCGCACTGAAAGTGAAATGAACGTGCATATATGTGAACCGTAATGGCAAGAAAGGTGAAATATTATTACATTTTTAAAAACAGGCAGATTTGTTTTAGTTTATATTACATTTAATATGCCAACTCAAATAAATCATAATTTAGTTATAACAGAAAAAAAGATTAACAAGATTATTTTCTCAGAAATCACAAGTCACCTCAACTACATGGTTAAAACAAATGTTACAAACATTTGCAATATTATATAAGGTCACAAGTTTCTCTCAAAACTAAAAGTGTAAATCATGTTTACTTCCATTAAAGTCTATATCTCACATTAAAGGAGTTTTTCCTCATAATTACTGAAGTCTATTTATCCCTTACTTGTGAAAATAGAATCCGCAAAAAAAAGTTGCATCCAAAAACTTTCTAAAACAATTGTTCCCACAATATAACAAATAATGATCTTGCACAAGACAGCAGGATTGTTATTCTCAATGGTTTGATTTCTCCTCTGAACATCAGTAATTCAAGTGCCCTGATGTGTAGATAAAGCAGAAAAACATGTAAAATCATCAGTCGGATCTTCTGGGTTCTGGTTCCCACCGTTGTCTGGCCCCTTTCTGACTTTAGGAACTTGTCCAGGAACTCTTTTTCTTTCTGGAAGGCACTCAGGAACAGCCTGCCACCTCACAGTTTGTCCCGTCACTTTTTTTTCATTGTAAAGCTCCTGAAAAGACTAAAGGACTCTCCGGGTTTAGTTCCTGTTCTTCCTTAGTTTCTTTTTTTTTTTTTTTTTTTAAAGCTTTTAAAGCTTGTGGATTTTTTTCTCCCCTGTCATCTCCTTAACCTCCAGCAGGCTGCGGGACCCCCGGAGTCTCTTCTTCTCCAGGATCACAGCGCCCCCCCTGATTTGTATATCTGCATGTGTATATTTATTATCCCATGGAGAGCTTTTGGGTTTGAATGCTGTGCAATTGATTTAATGACGAAAACGTACATTTTGTGGTATTTTCTTTTTGTATTTAATTCATCTTTAGGAAGTGATTTTTATTAGAAGTTTTTGTTTGTTGTGATCTGATTAGGTTTTTTACAAAAGCCAAATGTTGAGAAAATGTTTTGATAATTGTTCCCTAAATACATTTGAAGAGCGAGTTAACCTCAACACTAAAACGATTATTTTGAAATGTAAGAAGCAACGCTTCAGTGTGATAAACACAAACGTTGCCCTCAAAATAAACACATTAGTCAAGAGACAACCGTATCATTTAAGTCTTCAAATGCACACCTAACCCCTTAAAAAACGGGTTCCCTTAAACCAAACCTTTATCTTCTCTAAACTTTCCCACTTCAATGTAACATTCCTCCCTCAATATACATTTTTTAAGTGCTTTATTTTGTCAGATAAACCCAAAGAAAACTCAATTCATAAAGACTCAAAACTAATTCAAAAAACATTTAGTCATGTTTCTCGACTGAAAATCAGAAAGGATTTTCCCTTTGAGGTTCCCAAAAGTGTTATTTTAAATGACTATTTGGTGTTTTATTGTTTTTTAAAATGATGTTATGTTTCTTATAATTTAACAGAAAATAATTGTAATCACTGTATTTGATCAGATAAACCCAAAGATCATTCAGTTTCTAGTGATTTACACAATTTGCCGAAGCTGGAAATTGAGAACGTTTGACATTTTTCTTGATTACCTACTACTTTGTTGATCCGATAATTATTTCAACATCGACATTCATAAATACTATATTGAAAATGCACATTATTAATACATTGAGGGAACACTTTGTTAATCTGAAGCTCAAATGTTTTACTTTAAGGAACAATAGATCAACGTTTTTCCCTTTTGGACTTTTCTTATTTGACTTTTTTTTGTTTCTGTTGTGTAGAGGAAGTGTTTGAAACACACACCCTCCTGCACACTGTTCACAGATCAGACGGACAGACGACTCGTCACCTTTAGACATTAGACTTGTTTTTCTTCTATGAAAAGAAACTTCATGTTTTTATTATTATAAATATGAGACTGATGTTTGAAACTGATGTTTTTTGTCTTTGTTTTAGCAACAATAACAAAACGTATTTTTGTTTTTTGACTTGTGTTCCCAACAAATACTTGAATTTCTTAAAAAAAAAAAATGTTTAGAGTTAAAGTAGTGAATGATAAACAAATAAATGGACACTGGATAATATTCCCTTTCATGACTAGACCTCTTTTTTTTAATTCATTGATATTTGGAATATGTATATCTCTGCAGTTTTTAAGACAGGTAAATGTTCCTAAGAATTTAATTATCATAAATAAATGGATAGTAATCGGATAGGGATAAAAGATATGTTAAAGTTATAAACTAATAAATCGAAAAAAGTGATGAACAATCGCAAAGAATATTTAAAACATACTCATAGAAAATAAGTAATTTAAGATATTGTTAAAAATCATAACACTATTTTACAATGCAACTCATTACAAAAAAATTGAGGAAATTGTAGTATTACAGAGTTTCTGATTAATGTAGGGATAGAAAGAGATATCCAATATCCCCTTGACTTTACTAATCTGTTAAAACAATTAAACTATCATTTTAAACCTGGCTTTATCCGGTGTTCACATTTCAGTTCTGGAAATCGATGCAAATTAGCACATACTCCTCACTTTTCATATTTAAACAAGCAAAACAATTATTTTCTTAAAGGTCACCTATTGTGCAAAATCAACTTGTTCCTGTTTTTAATACACAGGCCTACATATGTGTCCCCTCTGTGTAAAGAGATTCTCTCTCTTTTTGTCTTGATCCATTTATATAAAAACCTGTCTAAAAATGAGCGGATCAGATTTTGGCCACTTTATGATGTCATAACGATTTTTTGTAATGACCATTAGCCAATTGGCCCCCACCCGTATCACCTGATCCTCTCCTAGAGCACCATGTGTCTTTTTAACCAAATATTCTCTCAAGAAGGGGCGTGGGGAGTGGCCCTTATTCTTCAATCTAATAGTAACAGACTGCGGGCTGCTTCTCACTCTTCTGTATTTTCATTTCTCGCTCCCTCGGTTCACCGGAAGCTTGATTTTTCTGCGCCATCCTTGAGTAGCGTCTCCATTGCCCTTATTTGTGCCGGAGATCGGAGAGCAATAACAGGAGCGATAATCGTATGCGGGGCTGTTTGAATTTTTGCCGGTGGGCGTGTCTGAAGCTCGACCAACAACCAATCACATGAATCTCCCGCCCCGGACACACAAGCACGCGGTGCATTGGCTAGAGCTTGTACTGGCTTATGAAAAATTGGATTTGGCTGACGCTTTCCATCGGAAGCTTCAAAGGAAATTGCTCAACTTTTGAGCGAGCAAAGCGAAGCGACTCCTCCCACAAGCAGTTTCGGCAAGTGTGACGTCACCCCATTCAAAGTGAGATGGCCCCAGAAGCGTTGAAGCATCCAACGAACAGCCGCCGTGCTGGACGGCCCGTAAAGAACGCAAGGGAAAAGACGCAAAGTTGAGGGAGCAAGGATTGCATTTAAGAGAAGGTGAGAAGCAGCCCAGAGAATCAACACTTTGAAAAACAGGGCTGAAACAGATGGGGATTATGAATGCTGCAAGTCTGTTGGTATTTGAGCCAAACACTCAGAACAACATGTGAAGCTCTCCTAACAGGAGGAATACAACACTCCTTCAACGAGAAATCCAACGTCAAATGTTCTGCTATATTTAGAACTATAAGTATATTGATGAAAAATAGTATACAGGACTGTCTCAGAAAATTGAATATTGCTGATAAAGTTCTGTTTTCATGTTGCAATTAAAAAACAAATGTCATACATCTGGATATCATGACAAATCAACTTGAAATATTGCCAAGCCTTTTATTATTTTAATATGCTGATTATGGCGATTACAGCTTAAGAAAACTCAAAAATCCGTATCTCAAAAAAATTAGAATAGTTCCTCAGACAAGTAAAAAAATAAGATTGTATAACAGCAAAACGACAATCAAAACATTGATGAAAATGTCCATAATGCACTCAGTACTTGGTTGGAATCCTTTGCACGCGATTACTGCATACAATGCCGCGTGACATGGCAGCGGCACTCAGCCTGCCTGCGCATATGCTGAGGGTTCATGGATGCCCAGGATGCTGTCAATGCGGCCTTTAGCCTCATTAGCAGGTTGTTGGTCTGATCCGGTGTCTTTCAGCTTCTTCTTCGCGAATACCCACACATATCTCTTATGGGGTTCAGCGTCAGGGGAATTTTGCCCCAGGCCAATCGCAGGCACAGTAATGCCATGTCAGCTACACCAGCTTTACTTGTCGGTTTTTTGGCACTGACTGGGCCAGGTGCCAGTCATTATGGAAAATGCAATCCTCATCTCCATAGAGCTTCAGCAGACGAAGCCATCGCTAGTGCCTCTTAAAATCTCTGCGGCTACACCAGCGCCATTTACTCTGGGCTTGATGAAACACAGTGGAACCCAACACCAGCAGCTGCACATGGGCTCCCCAAACCAATCGCTGACTGTGGCGAACTTCACACTGGATCAAGCCAACTTGCATTTGGCCTCCTCTCCAGCCTTTCTCCGAGGACGCTGGCCGCCTTGACTTTCCAAATGAATATACAAAACTTGCTTTCGTCTGAAAGCAGGACTGTTGGACCACTGTGCAACTCTCCGTGCCCTTCTTTTCCTTAGGCCTCAGTCAGACGCCTCTTCCGTTGTCTTGACGTCAGAAGTGCTTGACCATGGGAATACGGCTATTGTAGCCCATTTCCCGGAACACGTCTTGTAACAGGTGAACTTTTTTGATACCTGACCCAGCTTCAGTCCCACTGTCTTTGAAGCTCCCCAAATTTTCTGGAAGCGACTCTTCTTCACATATGCTTTAAGCTGCTTTTTGGTCTTCTCTTGTTGTGCAGCGTTTCCTGTCACATTGCCCCCTTCAACAGACTTTTGTGGATGTGCTTTTGAAACTGCACTCTGTGAACTAGCCTTGCTCTTTGAGACATTTCGTTTTGCTTATTCCTTACCCTCCTGATGGGAGGATTGCTAGGACGTGTCCCTGGGCAGA